TCTCTCAGCTATAATATTGTACAGTGGCCTCCGAACAAGGGGACACTATGGGGCCAACAATCTTGTCCCTTGTAGAGAGGTCGTCCCTATCTCGGAGGTCAAATAATACACTAAAGTATTAGCATGGATTGAAACAAGTGTCCCTTGTAGAGAGGTCGACCCTCTCTCGGAGGTCAAATAATACACTATAGTATTAGCATGGGATTGAAACAAGTGTCCCTTGTAGAGAGGTCGTCCCTATCTCGGAGGTCAAATAATACACTAAAGTATTAGCATGGGATTGAAACAAGTGTCCCTTGTAGAGAGGTCGTCCCTATCTCGGAGGTCAAATAATACACTAAAGTATTAGCATGGATTGAAACAAGTGTCCCTTGTAGAGAGGTCGTCCCTATCTCGGAGGTCAAACAATACACTAAAGTATTAGCATGGGATTGAAACAAGTGTCCCTTGTGGAGAGGTTGTCCCTATCTTGGAGGGTCCCTTATCAGAGTTCCACTGTACTCTATATACACACAATAGGGCTACAGGAGTCTGCACAATCTGACAAAGCTATCGAAACTGGAAGTTCTCGAAACATCATGGACGCCATCTTACCATCAAAGATGACGACGCCGCGATCAAAAGTTTGGCATCTGTTTTGCCGTCAACATGTGCAAAGAGCTACTCACTCTGGACTGGTGAGATGTTATTTTCTCTATTTCTTCACTTATTTTACCTCTCTCTCTGTCTCTCCTTATGTACAGGTGAATGGTCTACATTTCTATACTCTGAATCGAGAGGTCGCCACTATTTCATCCTTACTGAACTAGGTATGTTCACATTTCTTCCACTATAGTAGTTTTCACTCTCATTCTATCTCCTCTTCATCTTTTCCGCCATCTTGCTCACACCTTTCCTCTCTCACTCACAACTTTCGTCTTTCCCCCTATCTTGCTCCTCTTATATCTCTATCTATCTCCAACTTATATCTTATATCTCTATCTATATTCCTCCTCCTCCCTCCAAGGTATGTGGTGTGATGACCCGCTGTTACTGAAGACGTTGCCATGGAAAGCTCCAGCCAGTCACAAGAGGTGTGCCGAAGACGTCAGACCAATCTTCTGGGCCCAGAGACCCAAGAGCTACATACACAGGTATATATAATAATTATATAGACTATAGCTGGAGAGTGCAGTGAAATTATAGGGTGGCCTAAATTGTTTGTACTTTTAGCAAGCAAGTGGGGGGAAGGACAGACCAACCAACCATCCTGAATGCCTTGAGTATAGCTGGAGATCGCAGGTGAAAATATAGGGTGGCCTAAATTGTTCGTACTTTTAACAAGCAAGTGGGGGGAAGACAAGCCAACCAACCATCCTGCATACCTTAACTATAGCTGGAGAGTGCAGTGGAAATAGTTTTAGGAGTCACTGTTGAAAATTGGGCTAACCTTGGTCGATCTGTTGTTTGGTGAAGTATATGTGTATGTACAAATTCACTTCTCCAGCTTCTGATGTAGTGCGTGTGTTGTATAGTGTAGTGGTATCTACATGTAAACCTCTGATTGGTTGGCCACCGGGATTTGAATCAGACCTGAACCCTGCGATTAGGACCCCTGAAATTAAGACCCCCGCAATCTGAACCCCACAATCAAGGACCCCTCTCCTCTGATTTACATGTTGATCGTTTAGCAACAGGTGTATAATTATATCATTCTCTGCTTGTTGTCCATTTGAATGTGGCGGAAACTCTCCCAAGGATTAATAATGTCTTGACATGCAACACTCCTCTTCAATGCCACAAAATAACCCTTCTCTCCCCCTCCCTCTTTTTCTCTACTTACAGGCATATCTGGAGTTCTTCTGTAGTCCGTCGTTCATGAGAGCGCTAATGACGGTCCTGGTGGACTATCCTCAAGTCAACTACCACATTGTCAACAGACAGGTATATATACCACACAACTAAAGACTCTGTCGACAAGAGAGCATCGTTATTGTTACTCAACTGCAAAAGTAGAATTTCAGTTTTTAGCACACCAGGTACAGACGTCTGCCTACTGCCTTTGAGAAACTTTTGGTGAAAACTTGCTATTTTTCAGAGGTTCTTGAAATCTTTTTGTTAGCGAAATGTTTTTTAGCACGAAACCAGAGTTGTGACTATAGCCACTGCAGTATATATATAATAATATAGCTGTTCAAATCCCTCCACCCTCTTCTCCTTCCCAGGGAACGGAAAACATGACAAACTGCGACTCCTACCAGCCAATAGCAGTCACCTGGGGGGTTTTCCCTGGCATGGAGATCATACAACCCACGGTCGTCGACCCTGTCAGCTTCCATATTTGGAAGGTATAGCCACAAATCACTTCTTTATCGTTCTCATTTTGCTGTTGTTGTTCCAAACATTTCTCTTTCTCATTATTTCTGTGAATTTCCTGCTGTTCCTCTGTTTTACCGTTCTCCCGTCTTCTACGGAATTTTGCAATCTGCTTTTTTCTGCGACTTTCTTGAGACATCGAGTCTTTTCTTTTTACCATTACAAGATCTTACTGGTGCATGGTGTCTCCCTTCTTTTAGGACGAGGCCTTCATGTTGTGGGAGACCCACTGGGTCAGTCTCTACAGCCCCGAGTCCACCTCCCACCACATTATCTCTCACATCCAGAACACCTACTACCTCGTCAACCTCGTCGATAATGACTTTGTCACTGGAAACGTCCTCTTTCAGGTTGGTTCACCAATAGTAGGTGTTTTGTGGCTCTCCCATACCTGTGTTAAAAATATAACAGTAAAGAGACAATTTTTGTGTCTCTCTCTCTTTTCCTCCTCCATTCCCCTCTCCTCCTCTTCTCTATATATCTGAGTCAGTTAGGTCCCAAGAATGACCAAGATGAAGAAAATTCAGTTGGTTGCTTGTATTAACATTCATCCAATCAGTTTTGTTTCCAGAAATTATGTACCAATGTTTCGACTAGAGCTAGGCTCATTTGTGCATGCCTTAATACTCCCAGTTCATAATCTCCCTTTTTTCTCTGTACATTCTCCCCCCTCTCTTGCTCTCTCTCTCTCTCCTCTCCTCTCCTCTCCCAGCTGGTGAACAAGGTACTGGACGGTATGAGCAAAGCCAGTAGTCCCACAACTGAGACTGACCAAAACTCTCTCCCCTCCTCCTCCTCCTCCTCCTCCTCCTCATCTTCATTACTTCGTATTGTCTAAATTTTTTTATTGCGCGTGCGCACATTTTGCTAACAAATCACGTGATTCTAGCAGCCACGCCCTACTGTGATCATTCTCACTGGGTTTTGTTTTTCGCCAACGTTTCCGACAGTTTTCAAGGCCCGCCTTCGATCGACGAGGTCGACCACTGACGAAACAGTAGTACAGCCGGCCAGAAGCAGCTCACGTGACTCAGAGATGGCAACTGGAGGAGGGGACCAAGTCTGGACGTGGAAGAAACGTAAGACAGTCGTCGCGAGCCGCGCACCCCACACAGAGGAAATAAAATGATAACTGTTAAGTTATGACTGCCCAGTGAATGGTGAAGATGATAGTATCGTCTGATAAGTTGAGAGAGATGACGTAATTGTATTTTTGTATGACGTCATCACTAGCCGTATCTTGTAAATATCCGATGAAGTTGTGTTAGTTAGTGATGATGTCGTTGTATTTCCTCGCAGCACTCCCTCCAAGTAAAGCTGCACTCAGGAACGTCTTTGAGAACACCAGTGACCTCAGTTACCTCTGCACCTTTCTCTCCTTTCCTGTTGATAAGTGGGATGTTGCAGTAGAGTACTATGTACAGAGTACAGAGCCAATGAAAATGAGAGAGATGATATTCAGGCTGGACGAGATTGGAGACACAGCTCTAGCAGACTCATTGATGGAGTATGCAGAGCCCCCAGCAGGTATGGCTACAATAGAGAACACAACACAGCCAGTCAATTGTATACCTCTGGCTATATTGAAACCCACCACAGCATGAGCTGTGTGTACATCATCAGGGGTTCATTTGGAAGTCGATCCAAGGGGTGGGCAAAATGAGTAATTGTGAAATAAAGGGGGGCAAAGCTGTATCCGTGTTTGATGCAAACTAATCTATTCCCAAACATTAATCATGTTAAGAGCATGTATAAAGTGCATATCAACGCTGCATGCATGATCCCTGCACCAAGCAAGGCATGCTCCCCTAGGAAATTATTTTTTGTTTTTTAGATGCTCTAATATTGCCGTAATCTCGGGGTTTTTCTAGTGACAAGAGAAGTGTTAATTTTTCCAGCATAAATAAGTGTAAAAATTGTGCACCGAGCTGTGTAGTGTGTTTTTGCAAACCCTCTGCGAACTGCGCATGCCCAGGGCGATTATGCATATTGGCTTTTTCACTTGTTTTCACTGCATATCTCTCGAACACAGTCGTTTCAGGAAAATCACCTAATAATTTTTCAGGCTCGCGTAGTTATGAAGCCGCTGGTATCGCTAATGGGCCCGCCTCGTAGCCTGTAGTGCCAGAATAAGCGTCGACACAGCACACAGACAGACAGACAGAACGACTATCGTAACCCTCGCTGCGCATGCGTGCCGAGGGTTAATTACTGTGTGGCAATAGCACACTACACAGCTGTCTGCCTAGGTAAGTCTTGCACAATCAAAGTATGTAGTTTACAAGTCTTGTGAATGATGTCATTACTTGGACTAAAAATAGTTGCCAGCTGCCTAGCTGTGAAGTATGATATTATGTGAGTCGGCTTTAGTTAAGCAAGTCTATGTCGATATGGGCATTAGATCTTACTTTAGAAGCTCCTGTAAACCATCTACGATAGTATATACCTACTGGTTTAGGTGGCATAGTGACTATAGTGTGTGGTACTGTAGTTGCTGCAGTTGCACGCCAGTCAGGCTTGTTTTGCATATTTAAAGGTTTACTTTAACTCCAAGGGGGGGCGAGATTTGATCAAGGGGGGCGAGCCCCCCCTCTGCCCCCCCCCTAAATGAACCCCTGATCATGTTGACATGTGGAAGACTAGATTTTGTGAAACTGTCTTGAAGTAGCCTTCTTCCCTGACTCTCCCTCTGCATTATAATAGGTTTTGCTGGAAACAAAAAGCACTGAAGTATAATAAATTATTATAATACAAAATCCTTAATGAAAAGGCACCCTCGGTGCAAGGATCGTGCATGCAGCGTTGATATGCACTTTACACATGCTCTTAACATGATTAATGTTTGGGAATAGATTAGTTTCAATTGATGACAGTGGCTGGTCCTCTCCTCAGATCCATCCCTCAATCCACACCTCCTCATACCAGTCTTTACTGCCATATCTGGAGACTGGGGGAGATTGTATGGCCACACTACAGTACCAGAGGCCAGGGCTGCTCTCTTCCGTGAGAAGTTCAGTGATCGTGATCAAGTCACTGCTGAGGCTGGGAAGTACTACGCTCTCTATCATCGTGATCCCAGCTGGAAAGACTTATCCCTGCTATCTCTATACAGCAGGAGAAACAAAGGCTGTGGGGATTGCCAAACCTCACGTACAGACTGTGACTGGTATGTAATAAAAATGTACACTTGAAAATTCTTCGAATTGAAAAAATGGTGAATATAGGGATGGTTAAAAAGCAAGGAGACAAGACAGGGATGACCTAGTGCAGTAGTACAATAGATGATGGCTACATATTTCAAACTGACGTTGCCGCTCATGTACATTTTCCTCCACACAAGCCCTTTATTGTCGCCACTTTTATGGTGTAAAGTGTGGAGGAAAATGTACATGAGTGAGCAATGTCATTTTGAAATAATATGTAGCCCTCATTTATTGTATATACTACTGCATCACATACACTAGGTCATCCCTGTCTTGTCTCCTTGCTTTTTATATATTCACCAATTTCTGTATACTAAATACTAATGTACACTCACATGTTTACATATACCACGTCAAAAGTCGTTTAAAGTGCCTGCAGCCCTGTTTTTCCAGCACAACCCACAAGGCGCACATCAATTAGAGTACATACTGAATGAGAAATATTGAAATGCTCACTTCACTCACCAAGAATGTCCTCTAGTATGCTTGCATTCCTTCTAGTAACAATTATACACTCACATGTTTACATGTACTACTTGTACTTTATGTGTTAGGAACACATGTAGTAACAACAGTTCCAACACACTGTCCTGTATTTGGCCTACACTCACACATGTACATTGTACTTGTGTGTACTGCCCTCCCTGATCCCCTCCCCAAAGACCTGCACTTGAGAGTCAGCTAAAACTGTGTGTCATGCACTGGACCATTACATGTGGACTAACACATTCACTGTGTCAATCATGTCTTCATGCATGTTCAACGAAGCATACCTCTGTGTACTATGGATGTTACTAATTTTAGCAGCTGTGTGTATTAATATTCATACCTAACCTTGCCTATACATTTGTGATAGGAAACAATAGTCACTGAATATTCTCCCTCTCTCACTCCTCCAGACCCCAGCCTGACTCCAGCCAACATCCTACAAGTCACACGCCATGTCCCACTGTGGAGTAGTGATGATTCTTACAACTGTCTTGACATGTCACACAGCCAGCATGATGAGATAGTAGGAAAGTTTGATGATGATGAGGAGGCGAAACGAGAATTGATCACTACATGGCTGGCCGGTCACCCCTGTCCTACCTGGGAACACGTTTGGAGACTACTGGATGATGGAGTTGGGGGTGAGGAGGGAAAGAGAGCAGCACGTGAGGTGGAGGAGACATACCTCAAGAGTGAGTTAGTAATCATTACGTTTGTCAACAACAACATCGAGTTTACATTATGATTGTTGTAATGACATGATTCAAAGGGTGATAGTGAAGCCAGTGCTATATCTTTAGCTAAGCATTGTTCATTGGACACATGCAGCTTCAGTGTACAATGTACATGAGCATCTATGTACCTACATGTCTAGTGTTGGGTGTGGTTTGTGGTTTGTAACCAGATGTACACGTAATTTAGATGTAACAAAGGTTTTACAGAAAGTGTGTGTGCCCTTTTAATTTGTGAGTGCCTGAAAGGGGGACATATGCCCTCTCTCCATCCTCTATATGATGAAGTTCTTTTAAAGATTGCTATTGTACCTGCAGTGACTCCCGAGAAGGCCAAACAGATCCTGGACGCTGCCCTCCAGGACGGCTCCTTCCCACTGGGCTTTCTGAAGTCCATGGCAGTAGGAGTGGCTCGCTCGGGGAAGACGCTCTCCAAGAATCACGTCTTCAAAATCAAGTGCGACCCGAACTGCTCCGTTAGTACAGGAGTGTGTGAGGCTCCGATCTTGGCCTTTCGACAGCTTACTTTGGAGCTGATCAAAGCTTTGCCTTCTGCAGAGGGGTTCGAACTACTCAAGTACGAGGATATCAATCAATTTCTGGCTTACGTGGTTCGCAAGGGTTTGCTTAAAGGAAGGGTAGCGAAAGTGGTGAAAGAAATGGTGCAGGCTGCTAGCGAAGGCTCCAGTTCATCTGATAGAAGTGAGGGTGTAGCTGCAAGTAGTGTAGGCACTGGTTCAGGTGATAGTGCAGCCTCAACAGCTGTAGTCAGTGCAGTCTGCACTGCCAGCAAAGCCAGGGCCGAGGCTGAAGCTAAGGCTAGGGCTAAGCGTGAAGTGGTCCAAGAAGAAGAGCCACTGTTCAAGCTGCAGCTGATCCTGTTCCTGGACAGCGGAGGACAGCCTCAATTCCACGAGGTCGTTGCAGCCTTCAGTCACAACGTGTCCCTCGTCCTGGTCTTCATCAAGCTCAACGAGCGTCTGGATGCTCTGTGCACCAATGCCTTCACCGACGAGGAAGGAAAGTGGTTTACGGAGCAATGCCCCTCACTGCTCACCAACGAGCAGATGGTGGTCCAGTTTGTCCACACCATGATGTGCAAGCCCGTGGCCGGCAGCGAAGGCATGCACACCAGGTTCATGGTGATCGGCACTCACAGGGATCTGATGCACGAGTGCGACGAAACCCTGGAGCAGAAGAACGAGAGGCTGGCCAGCCTGTTTCTACCGGTTCCGGAGGAAAACCTGGTCATGAATGGCGACGACATCATCTTTGCCGTCAACGCCAAGAATCCAGACGAGAATGACGACAAATGCTTCGATCTGATCCGCGAGAAAGTGGCGGACTTGAGCGGGGCCCTGGATGTGGATACCCCGATAGCGTTCCTCGTGTTGCTGAACGACGTGAACAAGTACGCGGAAGAGCAGAGAAAGAAGGTAGTGAGCATGGAGGAATTCCAGGCCATCGCTGGGAGGCTGAAGATGAAGCGACAGAGTCTGGAGGCTGCCTTGGTTTTCTTCAACGAGATGAGCGTGTGGATGTACGTGCCGTCGGTCCTCCCTGGTGCGGTGTTTGTCGACCCTCAGATGCCACTGGACAGCATAAATCGAATCGTCCAGTACAGCTTCCGGGTGGGGGGTGGTGCGATTGCAGGGCTGGCTGCGAGCGAGTGTCGACTGTGGAAGGAAGGGGTGGTGAGCAGCGAGATGCTGAAGGGAGAGGAGTTCCGTGGTTGCTTCGTGAGGGGTCTGTTTGAGGCAGGCGATGCTCTGAAGCTGTTCGAGAAGCTTTACATTGTAGCTCCTCTGAACGAGAGGGAGTTCATAATGCCTGCCATGCTCCAGACGGTGGCAGAGAAGGATATGGAGCGATATGTGCCTGCCCCCAGTGAGCACGTGTCCCCTCTCTTTCTCCACTTCCACATGTCCCGCATCGCTAAAGGTGTGTTCTGCTCCACCCATACCTGCATGCGCTCCAAGTATGGGTGGACCACGGCTTACACCATGGTAAAAAGTAAGATAGTTCCTGCTTGTCTCTTCCGCAATGCCGTGCGGTTGCAGCATCCGACAAAAGCAGTTGAAATTACTCTTCTCCATGCTTTGAAGCATTTCGAAGTTCATCTCGATGCATCGCAGGCCGACCTGCCCATCATCTGTCCAGAAATCCGTGACATGCTCATGGATGCAGTGGATAGTGCAGCGAGTGCTTTCCGCTTCAAGAATTCGCGAGCCTCTGTAGCCTTCCAGTGCCCCTGCAGCCCAGACGACGTGCACACAGCCACTCCAAATGAAGCCCACTCCAACCTCATCTGCACACTGACGGGGAAGAACATTCGAGGAGGCCTTACACCTGCTCAGAGGGTGTGGCTTGGACCACGAACTGCTCCAGGTGAGACTTCGGATTGTGTGTGTGTGTCTTGTGTACACTCTGTTGTTTGATTTAAGTCAGTGTTGAAACTGATAATAGTGTTTTCTCCTCTTTTCCACAGTCGCCGAGTCAGCTACAACTTCTCTCTCGACTAGTGAACCTGTGTCGTCTCTCACTGACCCTCCCTCCCCGTCCTCTCCGTCTTCCAGAATGGGTGAGTGCTCTGACTGTTTGTGTGTGTTTCTGAAAACCAAAGCTACAATCGTTTGGCCTTTGCTCTAAGTATGAAGGCTTGAAATGGGCTCAAACCTGCATGGTGTATAATTGAAGATTTGGGCGATAGTACATCTCTTCTCTCCCCCTTTCATTTCTTCCTCTCCCCCATTTCCTGCAGCGTCCCAGTTACCCAGTGGCTCAGTACAGACCTCAGCTCCTCCAACCAACCCAGCCACCTCTGCAGACAACTCATCTTCTCCTTCCTCCACACACCTCTCCTCTCCTCCAACCAGAATGAGTGAGTCTTCCTCTGTCTACATCTCTTCTCTCTGCCTCCTTCCTTTACTCATCCTTTGTTTAATTGCAGCTGAGACTAGCAGACTGCGGAGATGGACACAGAAAGTACGAAGTTTGTTTTCATCCTCATCCTCAACTACTCCTTCTCACCAACATCTCTCTGCACCTCCATCAAGAATGGGTATGTTTTACACTAAGTTTCGTACAGTGAATTACTATGTAGCACATTGTGGTAGTAGTGACAATGACATGGTTCTAGTGACTGGTCACCACCACCATATCCCACTAGTGAGTCAGAAGGTTATCCATACATAATGTGGTGTCCACTCAGTGTGGTATGATGTGTGGTTTTTGAAGTTGTTCCTCATGTGTGTTCCCTGCAGTCCCCCAGTTGGTCAGTAGCTCACGGACGGGAGAGAGAGACACAACACGGAGTGGAGGTCTGTTACTGACTCTCTCTCTCTCTCTTTAACCTAGTCTTCATGTTTCAAATCCTACTGTTTGAGCTTGGTTCTAGCGAGTTCTGAAATCTGATTGGTCAATCAGTTGTAGGATGGCTGCATGCGAAGCGTATGCCATTATACAATATTCAGTAAACCCAAAAATGCTCAGATATAATATGTATGTATATTCAACTTGTACAAACAGTATCCCAGACCCAATTGGTGTATCAAAACTGTACACACAACATGTTACCTCCATAAATCAACAGTGGCAAGGGTTATGCACTTTCATGTGTGTTTCAGTCTTTACAAGTATAGGCTTGATGATCATCAAACCTACTTGGTACTGAATTCCCTATAAGGAAAGCAAAGTGGGTGTTGATTAGGAAGTGACTCAGCCCTCTGCAGTTGGTGTTAGTACAGCTAAGTGGCTGCTACTACTGGCCAATAATTGTAATGTGCCGTTGCTGGGGTAACGTATACCAATGTGTGTTAACGTTGAAGAAACCTTATAAATGTATATTTTGTTACTGTATAGTAACCGCTTGTTGACCAGCCATCTATTTTTTGTCCTCTTTACTTCAGACACACTTAGAAAAGAAAGCAGTTCTACAGCTGAGTGTTCCAGTCCTCAAGATGGTTCACTTGGTAAGATCGTGTGCCGTTTATTACTATGTTGCCAGTTTGTGTTGTATAAATAATTGTTTTCCTTCCATTCGTATGGTCACAGTAACTACACATGTTTATATATATATATATGTTGACTGCAGGAGAGGAAGATCTGGTGGAGATAACAGACCAGCTGATGGATCTGAACCAGCCTGAGATCTACAACCTGGGTCTGGTCCTGGGACTGGCTCATCGCCGTGTGGTGGATCTGAGAGAAAACAGCAGATCCAACCAGGCCTTCCTGGATGCAGTGGTCCTACACTGGCTGCAGAGAGACGACCATGTGAAGGAGGTGTCCTGGGCAGCTCTTGTTAAGGCTCTTCTCCACCAGAGACTGGGTCACACTGGAATTGCCACCTCCATTGCCGAGAAATATGGAACACAATTATGACCATTTAATTGCATGACTGCTTCTATATATACACTCGCAACAGAGGGTAGGAATGGTTTTATGTTTGAAGTTGGCAGCAGAAAGGTTCATGCAAGCCATTCGCACCATTCAAAATTGCCTCATTTTGGTCTCGGATATTTTTCCAGCAGCTTAGAAAGGTCTGCTGTGGGGAGAGTTTGTGGACGAAAGTTTTGGTTGGAGAGGGAGGGAGCTTGTACATTTGTGTTGTTAATATGCCCATGGAAGAAGTGCTTGCGAATTTAAAAAAAGAGGCATATAGGGATGGTATAAAAAGAAAGGGAGACAAGATGGGGATGGGATAGATGAAACATGGTTAATGAACAGATTTAAGTACGCTGACACCCCCAACCCCATCACAACAATCCCTATATTGTTGCCTAGGTGAAGTACTAAACATTCAACATTGCAAAATTGTCTAGCGAGTTTATTGTTAGTACGACAAACAGCCAACATGTTTTATTGCCCAATTCACAATTACGGCAAGCAGACTACGAGTTTTTTTGCCACCTCACCTAGTCAGAAGTCACTACATAGAGCCTGTCTTCTCCGGTGATGATGTGGCTATGGTGGCCTGGAGTTTATTACAGACGGAATCCTGCAGATACCAAATGGCATGGGGTACCCTAGAGTTTACTAGAGTGCACTGGGGGTACACTGGAGTTTACTAGAGAAATTACTGAGGGAGTTTACTAGTGGCCTATATACTAGATTACTGAGGGGTACCCTGGAGTTACTAGAGAAATTACTGAGGATATTTTTTAATATTTCACGAGTACGGGAAAGCAGCCTACATATTTTTTGCTATTTTGCGAGCACAGCAAGCAGTCTACAATTTTTTTCCCGCTAAGCAACAAATGAGTTTTTTTGCCAGCCTACGTGACTTCCCATTAGATACACAGGTATGCATGCGAGCAGCCCTTGAATTTTGTGCCATAATATTATTATTACGACAACGGCAACGAGTCTACGTTTTCCCCCATTTCATGGGTACGCTAAGACACCAATTAGTTTTTTGTGAGTATGGTAAGCAGTGAACGTGTTTATTGCACATTTCACGAGTACGGCTACGAGTTTTTTCCCCATTAATTGGTGAGCAGCACAATACTACAGAGAAATGGAGGGGAAAAAGTGGAGAGTTCACTGATAGTCAGAAGTCACTACATAGAGCCTGTCTTCTCCGGTGAATACGAAGACATTTGGAGCAGTTTCCTTTCTCTGGTGTACAGACATAGTGATAGACTGCACTGCACGACGGACACTGGGGAACAAGAATAGACGGCAAGAACATGGGATAGTGAAAATGAAATGAAAAGTAATGTCAGTAATGAAGAAATGTAACAGAAGAGAAGGCGTGCTCAAGTGCGAAATTTCAAAAACCTTACCCTTATTTAGAATTACGCAAGGCAAATGGTATGAACAGTGCTGTCTACATAATGTGCATTAGTTGAGCATTTGAACCTGGTATGTGTCTCGGAGGTCAAAGGGGTAGATGATGTTGTTCCCATGGCAACCTTCACATATGAACCCCTTCTGAGAACAGAGCTGCAGAAAAGACAAGTCGTGTAAGAAGTTAGGCTAGCTGGGGGACTGGGGGACTGAGGAAGATAGTTAGGCTGGGGGACTGAGGAAGGATTGAACAAAACATAAGAAGTAAGGCTATGGGATTGAACAAAGCGCAGGGAGAGAGAAGGGAGGGAGGGGGGCAGCCAAGAATGAAAGAAGGCATTAATAGGGAAGGGTGGAGGGTTGTGTCTCACTGGGCATTGTCTGACATGTGTGGAGACAGTTCTGACCGTCTTCCTCATCCTCTCCAGCAGACCTCCCGAGTGGACCTCACTCAGCTCCTGTACTCACACACAAATCACAGTCATGCAGACTGACATTGACTCAGTCAGCTATTGCTCCCTCTCAATCTACTGTAGTTACAATGTGAGGTCAAATTGAAAATTTGCTGTGTAGATAACTTGAGGTCAGATTTGACCTTGTAGAACTGGTGAAAGTTTGCTGTTTATAATATATTACGGAGACGACAATTTCAGGTCAGATGTGATCTCGTAGAATATTTTCTATTTTGCTGTATGGAGGCACGTACCTGAATGGAGTAGCTGTGAATCTCCTCATAGAGATGTGGGGACTTTAGTCTGGAGTGTAATAGGGGATAAGTACAGTGTGTTCTGTTGAACAAAGTTAGCTTTCAGCAAGCACTTAAACCTGGCACAGAATTAGTGAGGTGTCCTCTTTCGCAGGGGTTATTGAACTGTTCATAGGTAAACGAACATGTCCTGGTGTGTATACAGGGGTGTGGGTTCGTGCTAATACATTCTCGCTGTCCCTCCCACCCAATGAATGTCTCAACAACTTGGTAACGAGGTAGAAAGGCAAACAAGTCAACTACACCCAGGACAGCTCTTTCTTTCGAAGAGCTGCCCAGTTTCAAACCCACGACACTCTGCAGTCTAGGCGAGCGCTCTACCAACTGAGCTACCAGAGCAACTCAGCTGGTATATAGGGGTTCGAATCTACAACACAAGGCAAGCCACAAACCACTGTGCTATGGCACAGTACACTCTCACTTAGTGTATGTATGTATATACCTCTTCGTCAATAGTTGCAGAGAGTCTTCCTGTCTACAGGTTGCTAGGTAACCTCTCAGGGAGTTCAGCTGCTGCCGGAGCCTCTGTGGAGTCACATGATCAGTCACATGATCACAGAATAACACCAAGGAAAAAATACTCCTTCAGTGATGCAGTAAAACTACAAAATTTTCCAAAATGGTTCTCTCACCAGTGCTTCCTCCAGCTCGGGGATGTACATGTAGAGGGCTGGGTTACTCTCCTCTACGTTCAGAACTGCTGAGTCGGCAATACTGTCGAGGAATTCGCAGCTGGCACGACAGACACGGTGTCTCCTGAAGTCCCAATTAAAGAGCACCCTGGAGGGGACGATCCGCTAGTCGTCAATGTGGCAGTCGAAACAGTAGTGCTGTCCGCTGTACTTGCACAGTTTGGACGCTCCAAATACTGAAGAATGGGGGGAAAACAACAATAGCATGCGATTTAAAAAAAAACGACCCACTTTCCATAGTAACAGACAGTGCTAAAAACCCACTCCATTTCCTCATTCCTCATACACTCACTTTGTTTTGAACTCTTGAACGCAGCATTTTTACTAATGAATTGGTACAGTGTTTACTGGTAGGTGTAGCTACAATATTTCCAAAATTAAAATCCTTAATCTCTAGTCGAAATTCTGACACTTTACATGTACGTTGTAGCATCGATCATCCTCGCAATGTTGGACACGCATGCCATGAGCCCTCTCGGGCGTTTAGATTTCACGGACATTCCGTCTAACTGTTTTGTAGATGTCGTAGATAAGGATTTGTAGATGTTGTAGATAAGGATTTGTGTAGATGATGTAGATAAGAGGACTCACTGACTCCGATGGGCCTCCGACATGCGGCACAGCAGTAGTTCTGAGAGTCGAGTCCTCTCTCGGGGACCAGTTTGGTGAGGAGAGAGGTGAGGGTTCTGTGGACGGGGCTACCTGTCTTCTCTGACACCACCTATAATAGTAGGAGGAGGGGGAAGGAAGAAGGATGTCCATTGACGACACGTGTAATACGCACCCTCCAGTAAAACAGTTGGATACATTGAAAATGTCTCTTGTTGGGTGGTTGTGCTACTGTGTATACATTATGTGACAGAACCAAGTGTGTGTGTGTGTGTGTGGGGGGGGTGGGGCTTATTTAGGAGGGTCCTCCCAGACGTGTTATTGTCTGTGTTTTGTGTGCTTGGGTGGGGGAGGTTCTTTCTTTTCCTCTGATATTATTCTTTTAGCTAGTATGCTATAAACATGTTTTTTCATGATTATCGATAGTAACATTGTGTGTGAATATATACACCTCAAAGTCTAGAGATTTGGCATAGGAAAAGTCCTCAGATCCCCGTCCTCTGTTGCCACGCCCACCACCAGCAGAGCTACGACCTTGTGGTGCCCCTCCTTCCTCCTGTTGTGATACTGCCTGGGGAGGAGGAAATGAGCTAATTGACTCCCCTCCCTCCCTCCCCACTCTTGCCAACCTCTCTGGAGATGATCTGGGTCTCTGAAGACTGAGAGAGAGATGAGGATCGCGAGTAGCGGCCGAGAGCCATGTTGACCACACCCACTCCAAACGAGGTCGGAGGTGGACTCACTCTCTCTCCGTCTGTGGGTCAGAGGAATGCAATTAACCCCCTGAAATAAGTCCTTTTTTGTATACCGTGCTCTAATATGTTGTTGAAACCTGAAATAAGGCATCTCACGATTAGTCTATTTTCTTCTGTCCCATTGGTAAAAACCTGAAATAAGTAATACAGACACTTTCTTCTGTCCCATTGGTGTCTGGATTAGAGAGGTTCAACATGTGTATTTTCAGCAACTCGTGCTATGTAAACCTACATACACACCTCTCCTGGTGTTTGGGGAAGAAGATGAGTCCTGCCAAATCCCTGCCTTCTGTAGCACCTGTGAACACACACACACACACACACACACAGAAGTAGTAAAAAGAGAAGTTTGTCACTGATAGCTGTCTGCAAAAGTTTCTGCGAACCGTACGGGCACAGACATTATATAACATGACCCAACAATCTGAGAATGTTTTCAATATGAAAGCCACCAAAAATGAGAATTTGACAATTTAAACCCTACATACCACTCCCATCCCTAATGACCTGCTGTTGTTTTATCATCAAAATGATTACTCACAGAGCTGTCCCAAGTTGTAAGAGATGAGATTGTGTAGTCATAGCCCAGTTGAATAGTGGACAGTCCTGAATAGAACGGAGCAGATGAGTAATCGTCCAATCCACGGATTGGACAGAGTTATCATCCAATCCATGGATTGGACAGAGTTATCATCCAATCCATGGATTGGACAGAGCAGTGTGTGTATCAAATATACCTCTCAAAAGTTGGATGACAATTTCTAGTCTCTCGGCATCTCTGAGCACAGATTCCCCGCCGTAATGGAACCTTGGAAAGAAAGTGAGATGATTAGTACAACCTCTGAATAAGGGACACCTTTTTATTAAGTAATTAGACCAATTTGACAATGCTCAAAAGTAAACTTGGTAGTGCACCTTTACAATGTGCTACATATGCACTTGCTTTAAAAAAGAGAGAGAGTGTGTGTTCTGCCCCATACTAAGAGTACAAATAGAATCTCTCACACACAACTTCACTGATTACCGATGCTCAGAAGTAAAACTTTGGTAGTGCAAGTTTTAAAACGTGCTATATAATATGTGCTAGAGAAAGAGTGTGTGAGTGTGTGTGTGTGTGTGTGTGTGTGTGTGTGGTAACTGACGAGAGGAGTCCAGGATGTCGCTGAAGGTCCTCCAGAAATGACAGGAGGAGAGATTTGTTGAGCATTATCCGCAGCCAAGACTGCAGCGGGAGAGAGGAGAGAGAGAAGGAAGAGGTAAGGAGGGAGGGAGGGAGGAAAGAGAGGAATGGCAATATAGCCCCATACATCTATGATGCTAGATATACATACCATGCCAATCCCTATATACTAAGTACTACCGTACTTAGTGATAGAATGAATGCTGCTGGTGAGTAAACTAGTGAAATTTCGTATGTGAAGCATTACAGTATGGATAGTTCCACTATACATACAAATCACGCACTTCATATCAATATGTGGGCTTGCTTTTTGACAGTAGTACATTACTTCAGAAGAGACGCCTATGAATAAAGTACACTGTCCCTTATTCACAGGTTTTCACTGTATAACATGGAAGAAGAAGGAGGGAGAGAATCAGGACTCACTCTACATTTCATGACGTCAGATTCGGAGTCCCTGAGAGCCATTAGCTGTGTCTTGATCTCGTCTGACACCATTGGCTCTATGAACACCCAGAATGACTGGAGAGAATGGTGTATAGTGGTGAGAGGGGAGAGGGTTAAGAAGCAAGGCATTTGATCTAGGTTGCTATTCCACCCTCCAAATATAGCCTGAGTATTGGGGATGGTTGGTTTGTCATTTCTTTTACTTATGTGCCTGCAAAAAATGCAAAACCGTTCAAACCCTAAGGCCTTTGTAAGCGAGAAATATCGCTGCTATTCTGCAGATGAAACACTAATTCAATAGAGGCAAGATAATTTTGCTATTCCACCCTCCAACTATAGTCAAAGTATTGGGGATGGTTGGTTTGTCATTTCGTTTACTCACGTGCCTGCAAAAAAATGCAAAACCGTTCAAACCCTTTTTAGGACCTTCTTATGAGAATTATCACAAGTTTGAAGAAGAAATCAGTAGACAGAGGAGGTGGAGAGAGGGAGAGAAACTAACAGGTTGTGGAGGGTTGATCATATTGGGTCTCCTTGTCCCGCTCCACAACTGACCCTGTGAATTGAGGGAGACAGACAGAACTCCCCTCGTCACACAATGATCACTTCTTTACAAAACACAAACAGACACAATGGGTGGGAATTGCCATTCAGTTGTTGGTTCAGGCAGGCAAGAGGTTAAATGGGACCAATGCTTTGTACTTTCTCACATTTCCTTTATAGTATATAGAGGGTTTATTTGAATTGACACGTATTATAACCAAAATGGATTTTCATTGCCACATATATACATACACGTTCGTTTTAGCACACGACTGCACCGGAAGACTTCTTGTGCAGTGAAAAATATCATAAAGTCAACAACAAGATATACATCTTTTTCCACTTTCATCTTCAACGACTCTTGCATGCTAACTCATTCAGACATTCTCCAAGACAAATCCTCCGATGTGACGTTGGGATTGGCGGAATGATAATTTTTATATACCTTTTCATTTTTGAGGTCTAGAAGAAAGACAATTTCGAGAACTTTGCAAAGTGTGTCAGCATCTTGGCTTTTACTGAGAGAGAAGAAGAGGAGAAAGAGGAGGGATGGGGAAGGAAGGCAGTAAAGAAGAAAGAAAGAGAGGGGTTGAGTTGTGGGAGTAACAGCAAAACAGTAGTGAGAAGAAGAGGGAGAAGAGGAGGGATGGGGAAGGAAGGCAGTAAAAGAAGAAAGAAAGAGAGAGGGGTTGAGTTGTGGGAGTAACAGCAAAACAAGTAGTGAGAAGAAGAGGGAGAAGAGGAGGGATGGGGAAGGAAGGCAGTAAAAGAAGAAAGAAAGAGAGAGGGGGTTGAGTTGTGGGAGTAACAGCAAAACAAGTAGTGAGAAGAAGAGGAAAGGAGTAGGGATGAAGAGAGGGGGAGGGATTATATTCTCAGGTGAATGGAGAGCGTGAATTCAGCAGCATTCACACCACAATAGTCCATGCAGTGACCCACCATCTGTACTACTGCATAAACCAGATCCAATAGAGAGCCACTGACCCATCACGTGTACAATGCTAATGTATGTACATACTTTCTATATATAGGACAATCTCTTGTGAGGACATCGTAATATAGTCATTGCTATATACTTATCCTAAGCAATTCAGAACATGGGACAATAATAACTACTACCTACCACTCACCTCTGCGGACTCGTCTTCTTCAGGACGTGCTCACCTTGCAACTGAGGCGAGCACCAGAGGCAAGCGGAAAAGTGAGAATACTGAACGTCTCGCAATCTCACCTTTTTGACCGCAGCCGCCAGCTCCCGACACAACTGCTGCCTCGTCTCCTCCATCTTCTAGCTTCTGGCTACCTCTCTACTGACCTCTCTGACTACTACCACACAAACCCCTTCTCTGAAGAGTAGGCGTGGTCTACTCTCAGCTATTACGTCATGTGTTGTCTATGACCTTTGCACCCTGATTTTGCACGCTGGTGCAGTGGTGACTTCGCCCACTCTTATCTCCTTGAGGCCCTCCTGTAGAGCGACTCTGAGCGAGGTAGCCATGTCGTGGGTCGTCCTCGATGTGCTGGTGCACGTGATCAAGCCCCTCTGCTTGACAGAGATGGAGACTCGTACAGGTCGGTGGGTAAACCCCTGCAATTAGTGGCTCATTTACACCAGTACGTTTGACCTAATGCTCCCAATCACAACTAAATCCTATAACTATCAAACTGGTAAAAAAAACTCGGCATTTAAAGTTTCAGAAGATGTTCTGTCTACTGTTTACATGTGTAAGATACTGGTATGACATTGTGTATGTATGTGGGAAGGAAAACAGTCTTATTTGTCTGTATTATATATGTACAGGGAGTACTGTATATGTTGTATTTGTGGAGGGAGTGGAGAGTGGGAAGGAAAGGAAACAGTGTAGAGAGTGAGAGCTCCAGCCAATACACTGCTGTCCTATCTCTCCCCCACAGGTCCCCGTGGAGTAACAAATACGACCCTCCCCTGTCTGATGGGGCAGTCCCCAGCGACCGACTCCAGAGACTGGAGATCGAGGCCAACCAGGCTTTTGACACTTACAGAGAATTGTTAGTGGAGGGAGGGGGTGGGGGGTAGGGGGAGGGCAGCAGAATAGAGGCGAGATAGGGATGATTACAGCAAGATAATGTTTATTATTCCACACTCCAACAATAGCCAAATGGCATTTTGTTCCCTTGCCTGCCTGCAAAAAAATGCCAAGTCATTCAAACCAGGGTAGGGGTGCATGAATACTGGAGTAGTCATAGGAAAAGTGAGATAGGATTATTCCATGCTCCAGCAACAGTCAAAGTATTAGGGATAGTTGGTTTGTCATTTCATGAACTAGCGTTCCTGCAAAATCGTTGAAACCCTCATGGGTGTGGGGTTGCAACTTTATTTTCTACACAGAAGAACCAAGTATCCTTTACTTTGAGGATCCTTTTCAGTGGTTTCACTGTAGCTCTTCCTCCCACCTTTATCCTCCCACTCTGTTTCCCCAGGTATTTTGAGAGTGGCGTGTGCTCAGTCTACCTGTGGGACTTGGACCACGGCTTCGCCGGTGTCATTCTCATCAAGAAGGCCGGCGACACGGAGAAGATCAAGGGATGCTGGGACTCAATCCACGTGGTGGAGGTCCAGGTGTGTCCTGTAGGACGTCCTATAGGACACCAAGACTCTCGTGCCTCCTCTGTTACAGGAAAGGCACAGGGTCGAAACGCCCACTACAAGCTGACGTCGACGGTGATGCTGTGGCTCCAGACGATCAGGCTGACTCTGGGACAATCAACTCTGGATCCCCACTCGCAGGCAGAGAGCGACCACGCCGTCTCAGACGCCAGCCCCCCACATTGCCAACATCGGGAGAATGGTGGAGGTAGGTCACGTGACAGTCACATGATATGGTGGACAGTGACCACACCCCCTCTCATTCCCGCAGGACATGGAGAACAAGATGAGACAGACGTTGAACGAGATCTATTTCGGCAAGACAAAGGATGTTCTTAATGACCTCAGGTTGGTGGGCGGAGCTTGACCTTTGTACCTTCTACATGTAGAGTGTGCAAGCAGTATTTTGCTATTACCATAATATGAAGTGTGTTTGTAGCTCAGGTTGTCGTAATGCTTGCTTTTTGCACCTGTTTCCCAAATGTGCTTCCCCACTTCAAATCAAAGTGAAGTGTTTATGCTAAACATGTAAACAACAATGGCAAAGGCAAAAAACAACACAATGGCACCCAGGACAACCCAAAGAATGAGTTTGTATATATAAACTATTTGTGACTGAAGTTTGTTCTACTACACATCTCTCTCTCTTCTTCCTCTTCTCTCTCTCTCCTCTCTCTCCCTCTCCTCACCAACTGCAGGTCTGTAGGAGACTTGAAACTGGCTAACAAACAGCGGCTGTTAGCAGCTGAACTGAAGGAACGGATGCACGCGAGCTAATTCCTCTACACGCGTGCAAAATCCTCTGCCACGCGCGCTAGACGTTTATTCTAGTTTTCAACACATGACTAATTAATTGCACACTCTACAGCTATCGTCCACTGTACAGTGTTAGACAGACCAGAGGCTGCCTGGCCGTCTGGGTTGAATTTAGTGATTTTCAAGCCGATAACTTATAGTTGGTGTTTCTTGTACACATGTTTGTTGTTTACACTAATTATCAATATTGTGTACTGCGTGTTCTTAGAGATTTCCTATAAATTTGATATAATTATATGTGGGAAGTTATACAATACACTAATGTACTAAGCTAAGTGTCGTTTATAGAGAGGTGTGCTTTATTTGGAGGATTTTTCAAAATCGTTGAAACTAGGGGAGGGGACTGCAATACTGTTGGAGTGGTGGAATAATATCATTGGAACTAGAGGAGTAATCAATACCATGCCTGACTTAATAGAGAAACGGTCTCAAACGTCAACAGTGACAATTTTGACAGGGAAAGAAGTTGACGATTGCATGCACAGTAAGTTAGTTTCTGTACGCATGCGCAATAAAATTGAGGATCACGAAGGAATTTCTCCAAATAAGGCATCATTCAGCTACGCCCTTCCTGTTCGTGGAGGTCTGGGATCCAGCAAAACGCCGCGCGTCTCTTCTTCGATCTTCTTCCTATCTCACATCGAGCAGTCTTGGTGCCCAGAGATGGCTACTGGAGGAGGGGACCAAGTCTGGACGTGGAAGAAACGTAAGACAGTCGCCGCGAGCCGCTCACCCCACACAGAGGAAATAAAATGATAACATGACTGCCCTGTGAATGAAGATGATGGTATTGTCTGATAGGTCGAGAGAGATGACGTAATTTTAGTTTTGTATGACGTCAGAATCGAAAAATATCTTGTAAATGTTCAATGAAGTTGTGTTAGTTAGTGATGATGTCATTGTCTTTCCTCGCAGCACTCCCTCCAAGTAAAGCCGCACTCAGGAAGGTCTTTGAGAACACCAGTAACCTCAGTTACCTCTGCGACCGTCTCTCCATCCCTGATGATAAGAGAGATGTTGACAGTGCAGTAGAGTACTATGTACAGAGTACAGATCCAATGAAAATGAGAATGATGATATTCAGTCTGGACCTGATTGGAGACACAGCTCTAGCAGACTCATTGATGGAGTATGCAGAGCCCCCAGCAGGTATGGCTACAATAGAGAACACAACACAGCCAGTCAATTGTATACCTCTGGCTATATTGAAACCCACCACAGCATGAGCTGTGTGTACATCATCAGGGGTTCATTTAGAAATCGATCCAAGGGGGGTGGGGGGCAAAATGAGTAATTGTGAAATAAAGGGGGGCAAAGCTGTTTTCTGGAAATTATGTACCAATGTTTCGACTAGCCTATGCTCATATGTGCAGGCCTTAATACTCCACGTTCATAATCTCCCTTTTTTCTCTGTATATGCCTTTCTAAAGTGCAAACCCTCTGCGAACTGCGCATGCCCAGGGCGATTATGCATATTGGCTTTTTCACTTGTTTTCACTGCATATCTCTCGAACACAGTCGTTTCAGGAAAATCGCCTAATAATTTTTCTGGCTCACGTAGTTCTGAAGCCACTGGTATCGCTAATGGCCGCCTCGTAGCCTGTAGTGCCAGAATAAGCGTCGACACACACAGACAGACAGACAGACAGAACGACTATCGTAACCCTCGCTGCGCATGTGTGCCGAGGGTTAATTACTGTGTGGCAATGTCGATATGGGCATTAGATCTTACTTTAGAAGCTCCTGTAAACCATCTACGATAGTATATACCTACTGGTTTAGGTGGCATAGTGACTATAGTGTGTGGTACTGTAGTTGCTGCAGTTGCACGCCAGTCAGGCTTGTTTTGCATATTTAAAGGTTTACTTTAACTCCAAGGGGGCGAGATTTGATCAAGGGGGCGAGCCCCCCCTCTCTGCCCCCCCCCCTAAATGAACCCCTGATCATGTTGACATGTGGAAGACTAGATTTTGTGAAACTGTCTTGAAGTAGCCTTCTTCCCTGACTCTCCTCTGCATTATAATAGGTTTTGCTGGAAACAAAAAGCACTGAAGTATAATAATTGGTGCAAGGATCGTGCATGCAGCGTTGATATGCACTTACACAACTGCGC